CTATTTTTACTTTTTGGAAAAAAAATTTCCTTTTCTTAATCCAAATTCCACTGACCAGCCTTACCTGTCATTGATAACTCCCACCTTAATGAGTCACCTCTATGGTGGTTGCCAAAGGCTGACGCTCTGTTTTCCTCATTTTTTTTTTTTTTTTACATTTGTTACATTTATGTACCCGGTCTCCCAATCATGCTGGCTCTGTGCGGCTGCTCCTATCTGTCACACTCCCCTGCTACATTCTTGGCTACTAGGCCTGTTGGCCTTTGCCTCTGCATGGCTTCCAACCTTTCTCATCATGGAGAAATTCACTCATGTCATTGACCACCATGTTGATTCCTCCACCCTGGCAAGGGAAAGGAATGGAAGGAATAGGAAGATGGAAAAGAAAGTGACTACATATGGTTTTAGTAAGCAGAACTGTGGGATGACTGTATCTTAGACGGACGGTACTGCCCAGGTAGATATATTTTCAGAACATTTAATAGGTAAGTATGGTCCATCAGATATATGTAATGAGAGATGAGTTTACCACTGCCTCATATTTTTACATAATATATTTTTATTTATAATTTATAAATTACAAAATAATTTATAATAAATTATTAATACATATGTATAAATGAATATTTATAAATGTATATAAACTTATGTAAAATTTATATAAATATTTATAAATAAATAATTTATAAATAATAATATGATAATATTTATAAATAAGATCTGTAAATATTAATAAATAAAATATAAAATTATAAAATAAATCAATAGTTTATTTATAATATAATTTTTATATAATATAACATATTTTTGTTTACTTGTTTACTGGTTGTCTCTCCCTTTAGAATCTAAGTTCCATGAGAACAAAGACTTTGACTTGTCCACTCCTGTTATCTTTGGTACCAGAAACAGTGCCTGGCAAACATTAAGTACCCAGTCATTCTTTGTTAAATGCATGAAGTTCAGACAAGGAGCTTGCACCTATATTTTGGAGGTCAGAATAAGAAGACTGAATTTAATTCTCTTGGACAAAGGAAGGCTATCAAAGTCCTTATAGCAGGAGAGTAAAACAACCTGAGTTTTAGTAAGATACCTCTAGGGATCATGGGAATGATAGATTAAAAAGACAAAAATTTGGAGGCTTATAGTAATTTTAGGAAACTTTTATTGTCTATATTTTGAGGGACACTTGTTTGAAAGTATAAGGATTTTATTTTTATTTCATGTTTTAAAGGATTTCCAAATGTATAAGAAAGAGAATTTCTGTAAAATTTATAAAACACATGTTCTAGAAAAAAACCTGCCACATGTACAATTTGTCGATAATACTTGCCATCCTTGAAAAGTATCAAACACATTTTCCCTGAAATTTTATGTCATCACCACTTAAAAATCGGTTTTTTCTTATTTCTTATAAACTGCTTTAAAACGTTATGCTTTAAAATTTTATCATAATTGATCATATAATTCAGCCATTTCTATAGTGTAGTCCAATATCATACTGACTTTTAACATAATAATTATAATTTAGTGGTGGTTTTCACAAATGATTTTCAAAAATGGTTACAAATTTTAGGTAGGCAAAGTTTTAAATATTGATGATCTTTTTAGTTAATTACTATACCTTAGTCTTAAAAATTTCCATACAGGGATGCCTGGCTGGCTCAGTCAGAAGAGCTTGCAGCTCTTGATCTCGGGATCATGAGTTTGAGCCCCATGTTTGGTGTAGAGATTACTTAAATAAATAAAAAAACTTTAAAAAATAAAATTAAAATTAAAAAATTTTCAATACCACAAGCATTTATTGAGAGGATTTTATGGGTTAGGACTCTGCAGTGTTTGAGATCTTACCCTACTTACAAGTTACAAGTTTGCTTGTTTCATGGCCATTCACAGAAGACACAAGACTCCTGGGTCAGAGACAAAGGACTTTATCATCATTGCAAAAACAGTATCCAGACCTTCATATTTATTTGTGTTGATTTGCCATGCCCCCTCAGGGCCAAGAGGGTGACAGTAAAGACCCATCTTGGATACCTGTATACACAGTGTGTTGCATTAAAGGAAGTGATCCCTGAGCTCACCACTTTCATAGTAAAGATTATCAGCCTGCTTCTTGGCTGAAGAAAGGCATTACCTCATCCTTTAAGGCTGCTCACTGCAAACACAATTCTGAGGAATGGCCTGTGGAAAGAGTGGTCAGGATTTTGCATTCTTGGCATATGCACAAAGAATGTGCAGGGACACTCAGGGTCCAAGGAGATTGCCTCTTCTAACAGTACTCTGGTAGTGAGAAAAAAAAATATATAGGCTCCTAAAATGAAATTAGAGCAAATCTAAAATATAATTTTCTGTGGAAAAACACCAGAAATACTAGTTGAAACTGAGATATACAACATTACTGCTGTTCCCTCCCCATCTGGATAATGCTACTGATGAGATCTGTCATCACTATGATATTAAGGAGTGTGTAGAAGCTTAGTTGAAAATTGAGTGGGGTTAATTGAAAAATCATTATATTAAGTGTTGAAAATTTTATAAATTTAAACTTAGTCTTTCTTGGTTGAATATAACTATACTTCAAAAGTTTTTTTCCAAACCAGATGAAAAAATATGATACTTCAGAACACAGTAGTTGATAGTAACAAGTACCACCACAGCACCAATACCAGGTAACATTTCTTGAGAGCTCACTAAGTGACATGCATCATTCAAAGTACTTCTAGATATTAACACAATAATCCTGACAATAACTCTAGGAAATAGGCACTATTATTTTTCGTAAGAGGAAACTAAGGCATAGAAAGATTAAGTAATTTACATAATGTCACATAGCTAGGATATCTGCATGCTTTCAGCTCTGACTGACAGACGCTCTCACCAATTGGTGCATTTATTACATGACATTGCAGGAAGGCCAGAGGTATGACAGGTTTTAGAGCTAGTTGAGTCAATGGCTAAACAAAGTTGGTAGTCAAAATTATTTCTGATTTTTTTAAAAAGCTCATCATCGGGGCACCTGGGTGGCTCAGTTGGTTAAGCGACTGCCTTCGGCTCGGGTCATGATTCTGGAGTCCTGGGATTGAGTCCCACATCGGGCTCCCTGCTCAGCAGGGAGTCTGCTTCTCCCTCTGACCCTCTTCCCTCTCTTGCTCTCTATCTCTCATTCTCTCTCTCTCAAATAAATAAATAAAATCTTTAAAAAAAATAAAAAGCTCATCATCTATGTACTGGCATTGCCCTTTGGCTGGCCCCACTTGTGGTCACCAGATGGCTGTGGCACTTCTTGGCATCACTTCCACACATGGCAATGTTCAGAGTCACAGAGGAAAACTCTCCTCTGGTGCCCCTGTGTAGGAACATAAAAAGCTTTACCCCAAGCCCCCCAGAAGATCTTTCCTCATGTCATTCTTGCCAGAACCAAGTTCCATACCCACCCCTAAAACAATCTGCCCAGAAGAATGGGATCTCTGTGATGGGCTGAGACCAGACAAGGCTTACCTTTGGCAGTGGGAATATGATCACCCTGCCCTGAATTCTGTGGGACATAAACCTGAGACTCTGCCAGCAAATAAACAGGAGGGAAAAGGTTGCATGGGGTACCTCCATCAGGGTCTGCTCCAGCTGGTCAGCAGACAAGAGAAGATAGAAGCACACTCTGTCTTCGGAGCCTGCACTGAAAAGTCTGCTAATTCTTTTTTTTTTTTTTAAGATTTTATTTATTTATTTCAGAGAGAGAGTGAATGAGAGAGACAGAGAGAGAAAGAAAGCACAAGCGGGGAAGGAGCAGAGGGAGAAGTGGACTCCCCGCTGAGCAGGGAGCCCAATGCAGGGCTCATTCCCGGGACTCCAGGATCATGACCTGAGCTGAAGGCAGACGCTTAACCGACTGAGCCACCCAGGCACCCCAAAAGTCTGATAATTCTACTTTAGCTTTCGTGGCTTTGTTTTTTTTAGCTGACATTTCAGAAGCTGGTAGTTGTGGGAAGTTTGATCAAATTGACGAAGAGAGAGCATCCGGAAAATTGGCTTGCTTTTTACTATTTGAGAGGCCCATCATTAAAGGTCTGTAGGAAGAGTTTACAAATACTTAAACTCCTTGCCTACTCAAATTGTTCAGGAATAGAATTTGAAAATCAAATACAAGATGGTCGTATGATTATCTCAAGGAAGAATCCTCAAATTTTTTGGTTTCAAGAACTTTTATAGTCTCAAAAATTACTGGGGATCTCAAAGAGCTTTAGTTTATACATAGTAACCATATTAGAATTTTAAAAGGAGAAATTAAGAATATATGTATGTTAATTCATTTAAAGTAATGGTAAGCCAATTATATGCTAATGTAAATAACATATTTTAAAGAAAATGAACTGTATTTTTCCCAGACTACAGAAACTCGGTATGAGTATAGTGTCATTGCTTTACATTTTTGCACATCTTTTCAATGCTTGGCTTAATGCGTGATAGCTGAATTCTCATATCTGCTTCTCCATTCACGTCCTGCACTCATATCATCTGTTGCTTCTGGAAAACTCCCCTGAACACTTGTGAGAGCATGATAGTGGGAAAGGCAAATAAAATATTAATACTATTATGAAAGTAATTTTGACCTTGTGGGTTCCCTGGAAGAGGATCCTGGAACCCCAGGGGTCCTCAGGCCACACTTTGAGAACCACTACCTTAAAATATTTTTACTTGATATGCCCTTGCATAATTTATGTTGGCTTTAAGCAGTAGCCCAGGTAAAACGGTAGATAGGATATTAAAAGGAGGCTCAAACTGATCATAACTCAGAAAATGGAAACAAGATGAGTAACAGAGCAATATGCCACAGGGCAGGGAAAACCCCAAATCATGAGCAGACAATTCCGAGCTTTCTTCACTTTACCAGTCCCTTTGAATCTTTAAAATATAACATTATTTACACAAAAATATGTGCAATAACATATTGTAAAGGAAATGTCTATTCTATAAAGCACTTTTACTCTCCATTTTTTTTCCAGACTTAATATTTCAGATGATTTGAAGATTGGCTTTTTCTGCACAGACCATGCTACTCAAACAGATTACAGTGAAATTCTGCCACTAAAAGAGTTGAGTTCATCTACAGAAAAGCTAATACGGGTAAATTGGATTTATTTTCAAACTTCTGAGATTATTTTGGGTATTCTTTGCCTTGATGTCTCTTTCCTTTGCAGAGTTGAAATGACTAAAAATTTTTAGATCTTAACGTCTTTTAGAAGCTGAATTGGACGACAGTCGTGTTTTTAAAAATAATTTGTTATCAACTACTGCTTATATTTATATCATGCTTATATATGTTAACTGGTTTAGTGAAGTATGTTTTTACTCTCTTTGGAATTTTCTATTTATGCTACTTTTTAGAAATTATGAAATATTTTTGGATTGTCGAAAAATGTGGAGAGTAATAAAATGAATCACTGTGTTACCCACCATTACAGCTTTGTCAAATCTTGACTCTCCACCATATTTCCTTTGGATCTTTTTTGATTGTAAAGAAACAGAACATTTCATACACCTCGGATATCAAGAGTTATTAAAATCCCTAATCAATAAAACCATCACATTGGATAGCATACTACTATAAATACTCTCATGTACTTTGTTTCTGTTTTTTTCACTTAACAGTATAACTTGAAAATCATCCCGTATTGGTAGTTTCCTCGTCATTTTCACAAGTGTATCCATCATAAAATGTGCATCATTTATTAAGCTATGCCCTTATTAATGGACATTTTGGTTGCTTCAAACCTTCTACTGTGATGAAGAATTCTGTACATATTCAGAGGCCAGCCAATCTGTGGCATAAACTTCAAAGTGGAATTTCTGAGTCAGAAGATGTATGCATTAGTCATTTTGAAGGATATTGCCAAATTGCTCTGCATGGAGGTTGTACCAATTTACACCCCCACTAGTAACTTTTGGAGGTGTCTCTTTTCTTACATACTTGCCAATTTGTTGCCTTTTCTAGTAATACCTTCGGAAAAGTTTTATAACTTTATTTCTTTGCAACTGGGCATGTCCAAATGACTAAGTTCTGGTAGTAGAATTAGACTGAAATATTATGGGGCAGCTTTGGGAATCTTCTTTAAGAAACAGCTCACGCGCACTTACTGTCTGCTACTTCACTTCCTCTTCCTCTTCTCCCTTCCTCCCTCCTCTTCCTCACTCCCTCCTTCCCTCCCTTTCTTTCCTTATTTCTGTGCCTAGAACAGGGACGCTACCATTTGTGCTCTGATTTTGAGGCAATATACACAGCATAGTAATAAGATAGAAGGATCTTAGGTCATTTTCACCCCTGATTGCCTACATCAATTTCTAGTGAAAGAGAAATAAACTTATTTCTCTTTTGTGCTTTTGTTATTTGGAATTTAAAAATCCAGCTGAACCAAATTCTGATGCTTAAATCAGATTAAGGGTGTTTCCTCTATTTTTAATTAATGAAAGGCATCTAAAAAATATCATGAATGACTGGATTTGAATGCTTTTCATGGATCTATTGAGTCATAAGGTTTTTTTCCTTTATGGGATGATGTGAAAACTGACTTTTGAATAGTAAACCTGGAATGAACCCAACTGGACTATAATATTTCTTTCTGTTTTCTGCATCATTTGTATAATTCTACTAATGATTGTTTTCCATTCGTGTTCATAAGAGACTGTCCTATAATTTTCTTCTTGTACTGTTGTTGTTCAATCTCGGTACCAAGGTCACAGTATTTCATAAAATGAGCTGGAAGGTGTTCCTTAGTCTATTCTCTGGAATAGTTGGCATGAGGTTGGAATTATCTATCTCTTCAGTGTTTGTTAGAACTTGCTTGTAAAACTGTATGTGCTTATTTTTATTGCTATTTTTATCTTGTTATGGATATATTAAGGTTCTCTTAAATCTTCTTGGGTCACTTTTGACATTATGTTTTTCTATAAAAGTATTTATTTTGTCAAATTTTCAAATTATTGGCATATTGTTGACTGTCTTATTTTTAAATCTTTATTGTGTCTGTAGTTACCTATTTACCTAATAAAAAGCTAATATTGTGTGCATACCTCTTCTTTTTTTTCTAAATGAATGTTGGCAGTTTTATCTATTTCATTATTTTTTTTCAGAGACCCAACTTTTACATTGGTTAATCCTCTCTATCATATCTTTATTTCTTTTTTTTTTAAGATTTTATTTATTTATTTGAGAGACAGAGAGAATGAGAGAGAAAGCACATGAGATGGGGGGAGGGTCAGAGGGAGAAGCAGACTCCCTGCTGAGCAGGGAGCCCGATGCGGGACTCGATCCCGGGACTCCAGGATCATGACCTGAGCCGAAGGCAGTCGCTTAACCAACTGAGCCACCCAGGCGCCCTATCATATCTTTATTTCTAGTTCATAAATTTCTTATCTTTATTTTTTAATTTATTCTACTATTTGGGGTTCACTTAGTTTTCCTTTTTCTGATTCCTTGAGTTGGATCTCAGTATCAGTTAGGATGTCATATAGCTCTATTTTTAGAAAATGCATCTATATTGGCTTAATCAAATAAGAAGTCACTTAGAATTAGACATCTGTAGTTGGGGCAGTAGCTCTCTGTTGTCATCTATATACCAGACTTGTTTTATCTTTTTAAATCTCCGTTATTAATGACTTTTGCTTTCATATTTCTGACCTCACAGTAGCAAGATGGCTGCTACACTTCCAGCCTCCATCTGCATTTCATACAGGACGGAGACTATGAGAGAAGTAGGGAGGGGTGGTGGTGGCCATGTGAGGAAAGTGGGAACTTTCTATAGAAAACCCCAGCTTATTTATCATTGGCCTCAACTTGACCACCTTAACTGGAAGGAGTTCTAGAGTAGCGAGCATTTTAGCTGGACATATTTCTGTCTGGACAAAGTCCTAGTCCTCTCAGTAAGGAAGAACCAGTATAATGGATAGTGGGTTGTCAGCTACAATGTCTATAGATCATTATTTTTGTGGCCCCCTCTTTTCTTTTATAAGCATTTACAGACCTATATTTCCCACAAATTACTTCTTTACCTTCACCCCACAAATTTTGAAATGTAGCATTTTTATTAGTATTCATAATACTAATTATTTTATTAGTTAATGCTTTTAATATTTATTAGCATTAGATTGAAATGCTCTAACATTTTCCAGGTATGCTTTTCAGTTATTGTTATGTTGTTGATTTTTAAATTCAGTCCTCTGTTATCAGTGAAAATTCTTTGTGAGACAAATTATTTGGTGTTTGCGACTTGTACTGAGGCTTCACGTGAGGTCAGTCTTTGTCACTGTGCCCTGGATATAAGAAATTAAAAATAATTTTCATTTGGTAATAGTTGAGAGTGTATATGTATGTGTATATGTGTGTGTGTGTGTATATATGTATGTGAATATATATATTTTGCCATTCTATTCAATGCTAATATCCTTATATCAACATTCTTTGGTATAATGTTTGCCTGGTAAATCTTTCTCGTTCTTACACTGACCTCATTTCTGTGTTGCATTCTTAGGTATAACTTTTACAGATTATAGATAATAGGTTTAAAAAACATCCAATCTTATAATCTTTTTCAACAGCTAGTTTATTCTCTTAATATTAGTTGTGATTACTAATATGTTTTTATTTTTCTGCCAACTTATTTTGTAATTTCTCTTTAGCTTCTTCTTTTATACCTCTTTTTTTCTACCTCCCTACTTTTCATTGGATTGATAAACTTTCTTTAGTTCCTATTCTCTCCTCTACTGGGAATTAAGTTAATCATGGTATCTTTATTCTTTTAATGGTTGCACTCCTTCTCTTTGGTTTTTTTCTTTTTAGGAAGCACACACGATCACATCCAGTATCTGTGGTTGCTCTGTCCCTTTATTATTCAGACCATAAAGGCCAATGATTTCTATTTGAGATTTGGCTGCCTTGTGAGGTCACCGAACACAGCCACCCCAGCAGGCATCTCTCCCTGCATCAGTCCTTCCTCCAACTTTTGAATCCCCTCCCGGATTCTCCTGCTTCTGTTTATTCTCCAGAATAATGATTGTGTTTTGTTCCTATTTTATCTAGAGTTTATAGTGATCTGTGGGAGTCTTAGATCCAGTGGAGCTTGTTTGACCATACAGGATTTCTGTGCCTCCCTTCCTCAGAACATGCAGTCCATACAGGACTGGGTCTTCTAAAGGCAAAGTCATCTCTGCCTGTTGCTGGAATTTAAGGAATTCCTTAAGACTTCACTTGCTTTCAAATGTTTTTTAAAAATGACTTGTCAACATAGTACCCTTCATGAGTTGACAACATGATATAGAGAAATAGGGCTATGAGTCAGTCATAACTGTTCAAATCTGGGCCTTCCATTACTGGTCATGCAACGTTGCATTAGATAGTCATTAACCACTTGAAGTCTTACTATCCTCATCTGCAAAATAAAATCTTCTCTATGGTTTCAGGATACTAAAATGAGATTCTTTCCAGGATGCTAGTACACCAGATATCAAATTCAAAGTGAATTTGAGTTAGATCCCATTTGCAGGATTTGCAAAAGGAATGTTGCATATCAGATCAATGACTCTTAGCTTTTGAAATAGATCAAGGATAATAAAAATAAGAGTCAGGAGGTGAAGAGGAAAAATTACTGAAGTGATCGAGAAAACACTATTGCCATGCTCTTTATAGGGGAAGAGGTACCAGAAGCGATCTTCCTCAACTCAAAGCTAGTAAAGCAGGCTTGTATGGAACCTGAAGTACGTTTGCTGCTTTTGGAAAACACAGAGGACTGGTGCTGATCCATGCTTAAGGAAACTAGGAAGATGGAGTCGCTAAGTTGGGATCATTCTATACTTCCAAAGTTGTTGGGGTGAGGAATGTGTGATTGTTTCCTATGGACCATATGTGGCCTATGAAAGAGAAAGAGAGAAAGAAAGTGCATCATCATGGCGTCATTCCGGGCCCTATCCAGTAGAATGATCTAAAACGACAGAGGACCCCCAACAGTAGGAAGAAGAAAAAAAAGTTCTATATTCATAGGGGCTGAGGAAGGAGTAGCAATGATCACCCAGTCTTACTTTGAATGTGTTTAACTCATGGTAATAATATTCTAAATGCCACTTTGAGGCTGTGTTTTGAGTGACAGTAGGATTTTCTCTTCCCAAGAATGAGCAGAAAGGCCCTGGAATTGACTAGAGTTTCCATTCAGGGCAGAGGAAGATTGCCTAGTGAATACATTTTAAATAGATGGTGGGAGACAAAAATACATTATATGTTTTGATGATCAGAAATCATTCTTAGTCAACATGCTGATTTGCTTGGCTAGTAAATTCACAACAAATGTGGATTTTTGCCTATCTTTCCTGATTTAATGTCCACATCTTGGACTATACCTTTTGGAGGTACGATAAAGGGTTGTTGTTAACCCAGGTACTTTATCCTGGACGGGAAGAAACGACCAGGAACATTCTCTCCCTTACTCCATTAGCATATATTAATTTAGCAGATTAACTGGAGTTCTCCAATGTATACCATATTCCAGAGGTATTCTTAAAAAGCAGGACAGGCCCCTGACTACATTCCAGGTCATATGCCCATGTTGGGGAGGAAAAATTTTTTCTTTACCTTTCAACATTCTTCTAGTTGCTCTAAGAATCAAATTGACCGGAGACAGATTAACAGGAGAAAAACAATTTAGTAACATGTACACCTCGTGAACACAAGCAAGAGACCCAGGAAAACTGAGTAACTCTCTGAAATGGCCTTAAATACCACCTTCAACTAAAGACAAAAGAAGATGTTGGGGGAGGAAGGGAGAAGTTATGGGAGGTTATGAGGAAAAGCACAATAAACAAGGATATGGTGGTTATGCAGGTTTAAATCTGCGTAAGAGTTTCTAGAGATTTTAACTCATCCCCTTCTTGCTGGTATAGCTAGGGAGACGCTTTCCCTTCTAAATGTAAATGCCTCTTACAAAAGGGTAACTTCTACTCAGTTTTGGAGCTTCTCCTGTGTTTGCCGTTTCTTTAAAATAATCAGTATGCCAAAGAGGCATATAAAAATTTGCCTCTCTACCCCCAGAACCAGACAATGTACTAGAATCTTTACACAGAGTGCCCTTACTGTCTTCAATAATGTATGTTTTTCCATTTTTCAGATTATTAGATCTCTTCAAGTGGATTTTGGGTTCCTCAAACAATTGCTTCAGTTGAAATTTGAGGACCGTCTTAAAGAAGAGTCTTTCAATCTCTTCACTGCTCTACATGACAGGATCCTAACAATCGAAAAACATTATCAAGAGGTAAAAGTTCTCTCATTTCCTTTGTTTTATATGTGGATTGATCTTGTGCTTAGATAGGTATGTACTACAGTTTTGAATTTAGCAACTAGTGTGGGGGGCGATTTAATTTGCATATGTTGTGTCTCATATAATAGCTAATCCATATAATAGCTTTCCTTTGTATCAGGAACTTTGTAAGTACTCTGTATGCAAATTAGTCTAATCCTCACACTAACTTCATGAAGTAGGTGCAATTATTATCCCTCTTTTACAGATGAGGAAATTGAGGCCCAGGAAGTTTAATTAACTTGCTCAAGGCCACCAGTTAAACAGCAGAGTTTATTTTCCTGGCCAGACAGTTTGATGTTTGAGATCTGGCTCTTAAGCACAATTTTATCGGATATCATTTGTACTTATTATCTCTGTAAAAGCCAAAGGCTTGAAAACTCAGCTGCTTCAAGGAATTTCCTAAATTCTTTGGTCAGGTTAGCATATTTATCTGTCATTAAGAATAGGGACTGCTTTTCTTCAGTTATAAGACACACACAAACCCCTCATCTTCTATTGACTCCACCATTCTGAGAACCACTATACGCCTTTTAAATGTGTTCCTTCCATAAGTCTCTCAACAATGCTTAAATGAAACCCGATTATCCCTGATCTATAGGTAAGGGAACTGAGATGCCAAGGTTAAGTAACCTGCTTCAGGTCAGACAGATTGAAAGTGGCACAATAATACTGAAATCCGGTTCTGTCTGACTCTAAAGCCTAATTGTTGTTTGCACTCCATGCTGGAATCAGAATTGAAATCAGAATCAAAGTTTGTGGTGGGTTTTAATATAATGTTTTTCATTGTTATACAAAACAATGGTTAACTGATTTGGTTAATCAGAAAATGACTCTGTTTTATGGATTAGTGGCTCTAGATTTCTTTTTATGAGCATATCCCATTCAAAAGGTACAAGGACCAAGAGAGGACATGAATTAAAAATAGGTTTTACTATTTTTAAGAGCAGTTCTAGGAAGACAGTAAAAAGACTTAAATATGTAAAGTGAAATAAAATGTTCAGATTATCTATATTTATTTTATACATTTGAGCTCTATATTGCTTATAGTTAAGTAAAAATTGAATGTAGTGTGGGGTACCTGGCTGGCTCAGTCAGCTGGGTGGCTGGCTCTTGATTTCGGCTCAGGTCACGATCTCAGGGTCGTGAGATGGGAGTCCTGCGTCAGGCTCTGTGCTCAGCCTGCAGTCTTCTTGAGAGTCTCTCTCCCTCTCCTCTGCCCCTCCCCCTGCTCACATGTGTGTACTCTTTCATGTGCGTGCTCTCTCTCTCTCTCTCTCAAAAATAAATAAATAAATCTTTTAAAAAAATTGAATGCAGTGTAATAGCTATAGTATAGGCGAAATGATTACAAATTGGAGTTTTCACAAGATTTGGGATGATCTGAATGATGGTTTTATACTGAGTCCTTTAGTAGGGTGAGAGAGTCATATTTGGAAATTCAGTATGGTGTTCATTGTACTTATTTTTGGTTTGCAGAATGAGGACATTATAAGAAAATGCTACAATCAGCAGTTGGCTGATGCCATAGCTGTTATCAAAGGAATGTACAAGGTGGGTTTTTAGTGCTGTCATGGGCAAGGCCAGCTTCCCATCCTGCGAATGCAGAGTGGGGCTCGCTGGGGGTTCCCAGTCTGTGTTTTTGGCTTTGAAGATCTGTCTGCTCAGTTTTCAGGTCACTGAAAAGGGATCAGGCCTAAGACTGTTCACTCTCACGTTAAATTGACCAAAATAACATTTTATGGTGACAGATATAACTTTGCAGAGACTGGAAAATTCCAGTCTGGTGTCCAGGTAAGTGACGAAGTCTGTTTGGTGAGCATGCAGTTGGATAGAAGGTCAGATAGTCTCAGAGAGTTCATGGCGATTGTTGTAAACCCCAATGAATTGTCTCTGACCCTTGGTGGAGTAACTCTTCTACTGATGAGGACATGTCTGTCTGCCATATATGGTGTTTCACTCTCCTACACGATGGGAACGTTCATAGTTTTCAATGATTACCTTTTAGGCTTACTAAGGACCTTGTGCTTCTTTTAGATTTTATAACTGTATTCTTGTCTTTCATTTCAATAAACCTCTGGGAAGAAATATTTTTTATTATGGCAAATTGTGCATTGATTGCATACTTCTTTTCATAGCATTTATCACGTTTGTATTTAATTATGTAATTGCCTGTTACATGTTCTGTTCCATGCCAGACTGTAAGCTTTATGAGGGCAGGGATGTTGTCTGTCTTATTCACTGCTCTGCCTGCCTCTTAGTGCTGTGCCTGATGCATGATTAGCGATCAGCTAATAATTGCTAAGTGAAAGGATAGTTGCCTGTATTTGTGGCAGATACTGGTGACTCAGCAGTGATTCTCTTCTCCCTCCTCCTTTTTCTTATTCGCAGAAGCGCTTCTTACTATGAAGCCACAATGCTAGATCCTTTCTTTCCCTGCTTCCTTTTCAGATATGGTGTGAACGTAGGCAAGGTCAGGTGCCTGACCAATGTGACCTGAAGCTAAGTTGGCTGTGAGGTTTGGGGAGGAGGTTATTCTTTGTCATTTAAAGAGCTTTGTGGGGGAGGGGCCCTGGGTGGCTCAATAGGTTAAATGGCTGCCTTCTGCTCAGGTCATGATCTCAGGGTACTGAGATTGAGTCCCACATTGGGCTCCCTGCTCAGCAGGGGGTCTGCTTCTCCCTCTGCTGCTCCCCCTGCTTGTGCTCTCTCTGTCGTGCTCTCTCTCAAATAAATGAATAAAATCCTAAAAAAAAAAAAAAAATAAAGAGCTTTGTGGGAATAAACATCCTTCTTTTTTCTTTGACATTTTTGTTTCCTGATGCTTGGAATTGCCACAGCCAACCTACAACCAAGGACTGAGACATTTTGGATGTGCTAAAGGTAGCAGGGTGGAAAGATAGTAAGCACTAGGGGCCTTGATGAACATCATTGAGCAACTACATAATTCTGGACTTGCCCTGCCTCTGGCCCTTTCATTTCATGAGATAATACTCCTCCTAGTGTTTAAGCTGCTGGTTCAGTCATTTCCAGCTGAAAACATTCCAGGACCTACTGCTCTGACAACAGTCTCTGTGACTCTGTGCCGATTGTGATTCCACAAGTGCTGTGACCCTGTCTTTCTCACCTGCCGTGTTACCTTGCGTCTCTCCCACACAGAGGTGGGGCCTAACTCCCCCTCCTTGAATCTGGGCTGGCCTCGGTGCCTTGCTCCTAGGTGTAGAAGTTTGGAGGTTAGGTCAAGAAGAAGCCTTGCAACTTCATTCTCATCCTCTTGGAATGTTTGCTGTCTGGATTCGCGCTCTCTGAATCCAGCTGCCATGTTGTGAGAAGCTCAAGCTGTTTGGAGGATCTGCATGTGGGTACTGGGTCCACAGGCTCAACTGAGCTCAGCTTTTAAGTCATCCAGCCCCCAGCCATTTCGTCTTTCCATCTGAGGTCCCAGGCATTATGGAGCAGAGACAAGCCATCCCCTTGTGCCGGTCTTAATTCTTTGCCCCATGGAGCTCGAGAGCATGATAAACGGTTGTGGTTTTAGGCCACTAAGTTTGGGGAGGTGTATTATGCAGCAGTAAATAGAGAGCTGGCATGGTTTCCTTGCACTCACATCAATAAGCAACTTCCAATTGCCTTTGTTGGATAGACGACTTCTCTAATAGTTCTGCCAGCACCATGTAGCATTGTGGTTAAGAGTTAGCATAATGTAACGACGTGGATGGAACTGGAGGGTGTTATGCTGAGTGAAATAAGTCAATCAGAGAAAGACATGTACCATATGACCTCACTGATATGAGGAATTCTTAATCTCAGGAAACAAACTGAGGGTTGCTGGAGTGGTGGGGGGGTGGGAGGGATGGGGTGGCTGGGTGATAGACACTGGGGAGGGTATGTGCTACGGTGAGCGCTGTGAATTGTGCAAGACTGTTGAATCACAAATCTGTACCTCTGAAACAAATAATGCAATATATGTTAAGAGAAAAAGAGAAGAAGAAGATAGCAGGAGGGGAAGAATGAAGGGGAGTAAATTGGAGGGGGAGACGAACCATGAGAGACGATGGACTCTGAAAAACAAACTGAGGTTTCTGGAGGGGAGGAGGGTGGGGGGATGGGTTAGCCTGGTGATGGGTATTGAGGAGGGCACATTCTGCATGGAGCACTGGGTGTTATGAATAAACAATGAATCATGGAAAAAAAAAAAGAGTTAGCATAATGTGTGCTTTAGAACAAGGACCCTGGCTGGAGTCAGACTCCTTGGGTTAGACTCCTGGCTCTGTCCTTTTATCATTATGTGACCTTAGGCAAAATACTGAACCTCTCTGCCTCAGTTTTGTCATCTGTCAAATGAGGATCATAATAGTGCCCCCCTCATGAGCTTGTTATGAGGATGGAATGAACTGATCCCTGTGAAGCACTTACAATAGTGCCTGGAATAAGATAAGTGCAGTCTAAATGTCTGCTAAATAAATGAATATTTCACATATTCATGACACTCCTTGGTACTGGTCATTTGTTCTCCTTTATTATCTTAGTATTTAGGCTTGTAGGTTTCTGACCACTGACTGTAGATACGGTAAATTGCCTTTAAGATATCTATAATAATTGTCAGTATTTGTTATGTTGAACTGTATGAAATTGCCACTTTGGGAGCCCAAAATGTCAAATATCAGCAATTTCATATGGCTCAACATAATAAACATACTTATCTTAATGGATAAAGGCAGCAACAAACTACATAAAATATTAGGCTATAATAACTTAAAGTAGAAGAAATTCATCTTCAATTTAACCAAGCACGTGTTGAATGAGTACTGTGTGCTAGGATATGGTGCATACTGACATTACAAAGATGAAAGAGAGATGAATAGGGGTGAATTATAAACTCAGCCATAATATACTTTGTTCACTGCAGAGATAAACATACAACAGGAGATATGGAAGCACCACAAAGGGAGCAGTTATTTCTGCCTTCATGTTTTAGGGAGGCTTCACAGAGAAGATATTTGTGCTGAGTTTTAAAGTAAATTCACAGTTGGGAGATAAGAAATACAAAGGGATTCTAGGTAGGTGACATAGTGTCTCTTAGTCAGGATGTTCTTAGTGGCCAGTGATACATACCTAATTCACACTGGCATTAGTTAGAGGAGTTTATTGGTTCATGTAACTGTAAAGTGTAGTGATAGTAATGGCTTCAGGAAAAGCTGGATCTAGGTGCTCAAATAATGTTATCAAGAAACTGTCCATCCCCTGCTTCTACCTTCTTCTCTGACAGTTTAATTTCCAGGCAGGTTCTCTTCACATAAGAGCAACCTTAGACAGAGCATCTCTTTCTAGATAGTTCCTACAAGAGTCTCAAGACTGACTCTGACCAGTCTGGCCTAGTTATTGTCCCCTACTCCCACCACAAGCCAAGCCAGAGTGACGTACCCATCCCAGGAGATAATATCAAGGACAGGGTTTACCCAAATGGAAAAGAGAGGTTTTGATACTTAAAGGAGAGATGTTGGGTAGGCAAAACTGTTTAGGCAAATTGGCTTCCCACTTTCAATAGCGTGTGAAAAGGCAAATAGGACCTGGTCAGAGTTGCTGTTGCATTGCCCCACATAGTAGCCAGTAGCTATGGGTGGCTCTTAAAATGGAAGTTGAAATTAAATTAAAAATTCAGTTCCTGGGTTGCATTAGCCATAGATTGCCCAGCAACATTCTGTGAAACCGAATAACTTAGGAGAATTCATGAAAGTTTGCACAGGTATGTTTATTTTATTTTATTTTTATGTTTTTATTAATAACAGTTAAAGAGCTATGCTTTATTGAGTGCTCTCTTTGTGCCAGGCACCACACAAAGGAGTTTAGATGTATCATTTTATTCAGTCTTCACATGAGCAAGTAGCAAGAACTGGTGCCTACAGCAATTCTTCAATTTCTAATGTGGCACAGAGAGTGGTGGTAATAACAGGAACCACGTCATGGCCTCAGATTCTTACCTAGTGCTCTTGCTAATTTCAAGGTGTAAATTAGGCTGCTACAGAAATGCCTGTGCTATCCGGTTCATCCAAAACATGGTGCCCAAAGATGAAGTCCAAGTATCTTTTGCCTCGTTCAGCCCCATGACCAGGTGGAGCTGGGAGTCCAGTTCCCATCTATGTCATGTCTCTACAGTTGTTCTGCAGAAAATGGGAAATGCTTGAAATTTTCTGAGCAGGAGAAAGAGAGGTGCCTTTGTGCCCATCAGGATGGTTACTCCTGTAACAGTGTTAAAGGGCGTTGGAGAAATGAAGACACAGATGTACACCCCAGGAAGACAGAAACCACGAAGAGTTTCCTCAGTGCCCAGTACAGTGCTTGGATTTTAATAAATATTTATTGGAGGAAGATAGAAGGAAATGAGAAAGAAGGAAGGAGGGAGGATGAGCTACAATCTGTAGTTTAAGGCAGAATGTTGGGTAGTGGAAGGGAGGGACAAAAGGAATGAAGTTCTGCTCTAGGTTAAAAGAATTTAAAGAGACGTCTCACTAAATGCAATATGTAGGGCTAGTTAGTATCCTGCTTTGAACAAA